CTTGGTCCCACAACCGGATGATGGGTGCCGATTGCGGGACTGTGGTCGCAGGCCCGCATTCGGCGGAGGGGTAGGCCGCGGCGGGAGAGGAGTGCCGGTATTTCGGTGCGCCGTTCTCCCTACCTTCCGCGGCCTAGACGGGGCCGCCACCGTTTGATGGCGGACGCGGTGGGGCTGCAGGGGAAGAGGAGTGTCGGTGTTTCGTTGCCGCTCTCCCTGTCCTCTGCAGCCGATTGGAGGTGGCCCACTTCGGTGGGCGGTGTTTGTGTGGTGTGGGGCTGCTCCGGGTACTTCTCTGATCAGCAGAGTGGACTTAGGAGCGGCCTCACTTTTTGGGTTGTAAGTCTTCCCATAATGGGGTTGTCCCGCTTGGGGCGGCCTCATGGTTGGTGGCTTCGGCCAACCGTCGGGGCGTCGCGGTTGTATGCGAGAGCGATCCCGTGGCGCCCCACATGGCGGCAGAGGGGGAAAGTTGGGTTTTAGTGGGTATGCCGGTCTCATTAGCCGGAGAGTCTCCACATAACCACCCCGGGGGAAGTCGGGTGGTATCCGTAATAGGATTTCCCAACTATAAAAAAAAAAAGGTCATATTTTGTTACGTTTATACGTTCATGGCGTATATTCATCATTTATATATGAAATTAAAGCTATTTTTTTTTCTGTACCTGATAGACTACGTCTGGCTACGAACAGTTAACTAACGCCCTAACTCTCTTTCACTTTAATCTATCTTTGCCTTTAACGACTCGCGCGCACACCGACAGCCAAAAAGCGACACGATGAAGTTAGCCGAAAGCGACATGATTAAGTTAGGTACATTTCTTTTACAAACAGAGTTGTGACATACGTGATGAAATCTTTAGCTAGTTTTGTTCAGTTATGCCAAAGAAATATAACTTCTTACGTGCGTACATAAGTACACACACTTTTTTTAGTAATAATAAAAAAAATTGCCAAATGCCAAGCTAAGTCAACAAAAGCCACATCATTCATTCGCTAGCACATTCTCAACCAGTGTATTATTGTTGAAACAACGATTCGTGTGAATTAGGTCCGTATGGTCAAATGGCGGCAACAAAAATGTATTTAAATATAATTTTATTCCACAACAAGGGAGACGATAAGACTATCAGTGTCATGATTAAAAAAGGGTTAAATCCCTTTTACGATAAATATTAATATCTATTAAAAAATTGATAAAGACCAAAATTGTAGCAAATTTGATTTTAATCAACTTTGTTTAAGTATTACAATTTTTCGCGTAAAGTTGAAAATAAACGAGTTGTTCAATAAACAAAAATTCACCCCCTCTTTTCGGGTATAAGTCAAAAGATATCGATCCTAATAAGAAATTGATGAGAATCCAAATTGTAATAAATCTAATTTCTAACAACTTTTGTAATAACTATTTTTCGTGTAAATTTGACAATATTTTGAAATTATTCAATAAACAAAAATCAACCCTGAAATTCAAGATGGCGGATGACGGAATGGGTTTGGTACCCCGAAAATCTAAATTTAAGACTTTCAGTGACCCCTCAAAGAATTCCGAGGGAAAATTGCTGTTAAAATGTTTTGCTATGTTTGCCCCTTTTTGAGCTAATTCGACTAGGCTAATGACTGATGATATCAATCGATATTGTCAAATTTTAGTTGCATCATACGAAATATATGAGTTTATCACAATAATATTGAATTCTTTCTACCTTTAAAAAACATAGACATAGTAATAAATGTTAGAAAAAAATACTGTACTCACCATCTAATTTAATTTACCTGCCTATATTAAGAATATATCTAATTTTAAAAAGAAGCAGTTTGTTTGTTTGAACGCGCTAATCTAAGGAACTACTAATCCGATTTGAAAAATTCTTTTTGCATTATATAGCTGGTTTATTGAGGAAGGCTATAAGCTATATACCATCCCGGAAAAATGTACGAAAAATGTACGGTTCCCGTGAAATAGATTTGTTTTTGTCTAGGGACGAACCCGAAGCGAAACGAGAGTGAATCGCTAGTTATATATATAGTCTAGTCTATCTATTCCATACTAACCGTTAGAACGTACCTAGGGACGAACCTGAGAAAAGCGAGGGTGAGCCGCTACTACCTATCCTATAAACGTAGATAAGAAACATCAGTGAACTTAAATTGTGATTCACATTAATGAACTCTCTAAATTTTAATTTATTTCATATGAAATGGAAAAATAATAATATTAATACTGTAATATTTATTCGTTAAATAAAATACTTAATGAATTAATAATACAGACCCGTGGGGTTTTCCACGAGTTGCTTTCTTTATAGAATAAAATATAACAATGTAGAGCTTAATTAAAAAATATTTTATAGTAATACGTAACGCTAATGAGAAATAAATAGCCAAGCCAAGCCGTATTGTGAGTCTCTTTACATAATAATAGACATTTAACGTGTACCTAACACAAGCTAATCACTTTGATTTTCCTTATATAGGTCACGAAAAGTTTAATAAAATTATAAAATTGACCACTGACGAAATTCGTGACGCAGTAAAGCAGTTAAATTAGCTGACGCAGGACACATTCAGAAAAAAGTCTCCTAAAACTCTGGCTTGTGTTTTAATATACTATACTAGCTTAATATACTATACTTTTGTAGGTTACAGACTACTAAAGTTATTATCTTATATCTTTAAACGAGCAATTCTTATATATATATCTGAATCTCGGAAACGGCTCCAACGATTTTTATGAAATTTAGTATACAGGGGATTTCAAGGGCGATAAATCGATCTAGAGAAAAGGCGTGTTTTCGAGTTTTCATGCAGTTTTCTTTTGCATTATTCCACGCAAAATATGGTCGGTAATATGCACGCTCGGGCATAAGCATCGTGGGCAAGCGGCCAAGGTGCAAGGTCAACAATCGCAGGTGTCCAGGTTCGAATCTCGGTCGCATACAAAGTTCTTAATTTTGTTTTTTTTTTTATATTTATTCAAGTTTTTAGTTTAAAAAAAAAGATGAAAATTGTACTTTAGGCCAAAAACTAAAGGTACTGATTTCTGATACTAAATATTATTTTTGTGTATAAAAAATATATATTATTTTACGCTGTAACAACTCAATGGACTTAAACAAAAAAAAAACAAAACAAAAGAATATGGCATGATCATTAAGTAATAGAATAAAAAATCGGTTTATTGACTTCGTTGAAATCTATGTATGTATGTATGTATTCAGCCATTTCTTAACATCCCACTGCTGGGAACGGGCCTCTCTTCAATGCAATGGGAATCAAGTAATAATCCACCAAACAGTGCGGGTTGGCGGACTTCACATGTCTTTCCAAAACTTGCTAGGTACTCTCAGATATGCAGTAAGTGATAATCAAATTGGAAATGATTCTCATATGAAAATATCAGAGGTGCGAGACCCAGGATTTGAACCCGCTTCACTCGGTTTCTCAAGTGAGCGCGTTACTTACTGGGCTACCACTGCCACTATAGTGGTGCAGTGGAAGCGTGCTGGACCTATAATTGAATCTATACTAATATTATAAATGTGAAAGTTGATGGATGTTTGTTACTCTTTCACGCCAGAACGGCTGAACGGATGAAATTTGGCACAGAGATAGATTATAGTGTGAAAATATAACACATAGGCTACTTTTTACCCCGGAAAAATGTACGGTTCCCGTGGGCTAGGTATGTTTCTGTTTCTGTCTAGCGATACAATAAATTAGTTTTATTTTAATACTTTATCAAATAATATCACAAGACTCACTCATTTGTTATCAACTATAAAAATTTACGAGGGTTACCACTGCCTTAAATGCGTTGAAATCTATTATGTTAATTAATAAAATTGTGGTAACATTTGTAAAATAACATACATTAGGTTAAATAGTTCAGGCAACACCATAACTGTTGTAAGAGTAGAACAAAATATTTCACTAGATCCTTTTTACTTCTCTTTTTTTAAAATTTAATCCCTTTTCCTTTCTTTGAAGTGTGTAAATATAAAAAAATGGATGTTATTCACTTACTCATCAAGTCAATTTTTTTGTATGTTACACTAGCGACTCACCCTCGCTTAGCTTCCAGTTCGTCCCTAGGCAAAAACAAATCTAATTTTTCTGGGATGATAGCCTTCCTCAATACACTGGTTATCTAATGCAAAAAGATTTTTTCAAATAGCATTAGTAGTTCCTAAAATTACAGCGTACAAACAAACTGCCTCTTTATAATAAATTAGGAATAATCGAATTTACTGACTAAAACTAAGGACTTGTATAGATTAAACTATAGGTAGTAACAAGCTAACAATGAATGAAATAAGATAGCAACACGAAATGTTATATGATTGGTAAGTGAAAATCAATTCTAACAGATGCATATGTTGTAAATGTTAAACAATTTTGAATTACTCCAAAATCAATCAAAAAATTCAAATTCAAAGTCGAATCGAAATTGATATCAAATCAATAAACTATTTACCCGTTTTCAGATAATTATTTCTTGTAATTTCTCTTAAGAGATTATTATTAATATAACATAAAAACATCTATTATTTCTTTAGAATAAATTGTAATAAAAATCTATAAATACAGTTTCATGTTACATTTGGTCATCCATGTAAACATAGATAAGACATGATTGTTATATATTATAAAGTATGGAACAATAGTTTTAAAGGATATCTCACAGTAATTATGATATCGGTGACTATGATGCAAAATAAAGTGTTTTATATAAAATTTTAAATAATAAAAGGTAAAGGAATAAGCTACCCACATCATCCTTGGGAATTTGAGGCCAGGTAGGGATAGAAGGTGGGATCCAAGGAGAGAAGAACTTACCATGCCCTATAATACAAAAAAAAATCAATCTATTGAATTATTGAAGAAAAATAATAACACATAATTGCAGCATTGCTTCAAATACAAAAAAAAACATTTTGAACTTGATTACTTAAACATTCACTTACAGTCCTACTTTAAAAAAAAAGAAAACAACTTACATGAATTCCCTCTCCAAGTAATGCAGCCTGATGCATCAGCTTCTTGGGGATGCATCCTACATTTACACACGTGCCTCCAAGGCCCCATTTTGTTCCCTGGGGCGAGGGTGTAACATAATCTAAGACAGCAACCTTAGCGCCTAGATTAATAGCTTCCTTAGCACAGGCCAGGCCTCCAGACCCACCACCGATGACAGCCAAATCATAGTCGAAAATCCCATCTACAATGTGCAGGTGATACCATCACATATATGTATTTTATGTTTCAATTTTGAATAATACCTTTATATAAAACTGTATTATTCTATAAATCTCAAACATTTACATATATTTTAAAATTTTATAGTTAAATTGAGATATGAACAAAAATTGTATGAAATTTTGGTGAGTTAATACTGATGTTTGAAACAGATGTTTTTTTCATGTATATTATGAAATTGACATATCCCAATATGTCTATATCTTGTGAGTGCATTATTATAACTTAAGACATGATTTTATTCAATTTTAAACAAAAGGTTACAAAAATTCAGCATAGATCTTTTTTTGATGTGAAACAATTATTTTAATTTATTTTTTCACTATTTATTTATATAGTTCTCAATTAAGTTAGTCTGTTCACAAAACCTTATTTACAATTACAATATATACAGTGCAGTACTAAGAAGGTTTATTAAACAATATAATATATGCAACAGCACATTATTCCCTTAAAATTGTTTTTGAATACCTTGCTTGACTAAAGGGGCTACCAACTTTTGCTTATGACCACAACACATCCAAGTACCTGGTGTAAGGTGAGGTACCAAAACAATTATATAAACTGAGGCAGCGTTTTTAAACCATAGAATAATATATATTAAGTATTTAATAGGGAAAAGTATATGTTCAATTAAACAAGCATAATATGTATTTTAATTTTAGTGTATGTTTTCACTAACTATAAGAACAACGAGTGTTTCGAGATCCTAAAGAAAACATTCCTATTTTCAATTATTTAATAAGTAACATAATATACTAATATTATGATGAAAAACATCAGTTGAGGGATAGGCTTTTCACATTGAGGTTATGTGGTGCATAATGATTTCAAGGTTATTCTTTAGGAATACACGCTAACTTACTGGCGAAGGTGCGTCTCGCTATCACAAAAAAATACTCCGTGCTTTTAAAAGGTTTCACATAATTACATATTCTTACGAAATTACTGAACATTGTCATATTGACGTACTAAATCTGACAGAGACAGTCCAATCACAATCACAGTTCGCTAAAATATTTCACCAGTAGAAAGATTACTTTATAGCGTACGCACGAGATATTATATAGCAAATTGCTTATATTGTATAATTCAGAAGATGAAGACCGCACTAATTACGGGAGCGAATCGCGGCTTAGGACTCGGAATGGTGAAATATTTAACTAAACATAATAAAGCCGAGAATATATTCGCGACATGCCGACGACAGTCTGAGGTAATTATTCAAGAATTTACTCACCTATAGGTGCCATTTTCAATTAAAACTTTGTCACTGAATATTTAACACTTAAACACAATGCTTACGTCTATTCGACAACGGTACAAATAATAAAACGGAATGTTCAATGTCCGTCGCGTATTTTATAAAGCACTTTTTAGTATCACTAGGACGATAGAAAGAGACAACAACAGCCAACAGTGAACAACGGCTCGACGCTCGGCGGCTCGACCTCGAGCCTCGAAGCCGCGGGCTGAGCGTGACTTGACAGATGACGTCACCCGCGACGTATTCCTAGAGAAGTGCGATGACGATGCTATCGAGAATCGAGATGTTTCTTACTACGATACTGATTATTTCATAACTTAAACTTATATTTCATATTAATTACAGTTAAATAAATATTTTTTAAATTAATAAGAAAACAATATTTAAAGCATTTTTTATTATTCATTATTATTACATAATTATAGCTATTTGTATTTTTCAGGAGTTAACTCAAATTTCACAAGAACACAAAAATCTTCACATATTACATTTAGGTAACTATTAATATTAAAATATTTAAGAAATATATAGTATTTTTTTATTAACAAATAAGTAAATCTAGACGTAAATTATATGATTTTTACAAGATTAATGGCATTTTTAAGGACCAGCATATTACCCATACATTCACATTTTCAGATGTTACAGATATGAAACAAATTACTGATGTGGCATCACAAATGACAAAAATTATAGGAGATCGAGGTTTGAACCTCTTAATAAATAATGCTGGTGTTTCTACAAAATTTACAAAGTTGGGATTAGTGAAAGCAGAACAGTTGCTCGAGAATCTAAACGTGAACGCTATTGCTCCTATTATGCTAACAAAGGTTTCTAGTTAAAGCTATGTTTTTTTCCTATTTAAAATAATAATATTTTGTAAATAGGGATGTCCGTATATGGACGTTTTATTTTGTCCGAGTTCAAAAAGAAAGTGGTCTTCTAATTTGGGTATATGTAATTATGTGTATATTTTACGCATTATCACCGATAATTAAGAACCGATTTTCTAGATGTTTTCCCCCTACATAAATAAAAGAAAAAATCCACACCTAAAAGGAGAATAATTAGGTACTTTTGAAGTAATTAACTGAAGTCGGTGTATCTTTTTAGTTAAATATATTATTTTGTTACGTGTGCTTTTAATTTACTATGCATACAGCCCGTTTTAACGTCCCACTGCTGGACACAGGCCTCCCTTCAATACGAGCGGGATCAGGCCATAGCCCACCACATCAATTGAGGGTTGTTAGACTTCACGTCTTTCGAAAACTTACTAGGTTCTTCACGATGTGTTCTTTCACCGTAAGGCCAGTGGTAATCATGTTGGAAAATGATTCGCACATGAAAATATCAGAGGTGCGAGATCTGGGATAATACTAAATAAACCACTTCACTCGGTTTCCCAAGCAAGTGTGGCACGACCGGGCTACCACCTTTTTTTATTTAGTATTGATTAGGAAATCCGCAGGAATAACATATTTAATAGAACACATTATAATTAGATAAAGGTCCTCTAAAGGGTCAGACAGAGTGACAGACGGAAAGCTTAGACTTACTTATAGAGTTTGGAAAAGATTTTTTGGACACAAAATCCTCAAAACTTTAATTTAAACGTCAGTCACAAAAAAAGAAATATATTTTTTTAATTATAATAATAATTACAACAGAACAATAGTTCATCTGTATGATTACATTTTCAAGGCTCTACTCCCTTTACTGAAACAAGCATCTGAAGCTAACTGTGATAAACCGATGGGTTCGCAGCGTGCGGCTGTCATCAACATGAGTTCTATATTAGGATCCATTGCACAAAACGATCAAGGCGGCTTTTATCCATACAGATGTTCAAAGGTATTTTACTAATAGACTATCTTAAAATTAGATTTTTTCCACTATTTTCTTAAACAAGATTTATCTTGTTTAAGAAAATAGTGGAAAAGTGTCAGGTGTTGCTTTTAAGCAACACTGACAGTTAGCACTTATCCATATCTGTTGTGTCGCTTGTTGCGTAGTTCCAAATAACAGGATTTTACACGGAAACGTGAAGAGAACAGAGAGGTCCGATTATTTTTGGATCCACTTAACCGATTGAAATGGTAGCTATTTTTGCTCAGAAGAAAAACTTATATTCCGACTTTAGTCTTCTATTCTTTAGAATTATTTGATAAACGCTCCGTATATCTTATTCTCTTACTCCGATTGAGTAATAAAAAGTTCATTGTTCATTGAAATGACCAACCGTAACTGCCATGATTTTTAAAAATGGCTTAGAGATCTTGACATTAATCACATAATAATTAAAAAGATATCGTATATTAACAGGCAGCATTAAACGCAGCAAGTAAATCAATGAGTATAGACTTGAAAAAGGATCAAATCGTCGTAGTGTCCATGCATCCAGGGTGGGTGAAAACTGAAATGGGTGGCAAGAATGCTCCACTGGATGTCGAGACTAGTGTAACGGGTATATTCGACACCATTGAGAAACTTCGACAAGAAGATACTGGGAAATTTTTTCAATATAATGGCTCTGAGTTGCCATGGTGAACTAATTCATATTAAGGCAATATGTGTACACTTTGTAGAATAAGCTAAATCAATTACATATACATTAAATTAAGCTATCGACAGTAAAAAATGTCTAATAAAGATTTTAATGTGTTTATGTAGGTATTTTATTTTTACATATACATTCCAGGCTTTTTCTAGCGGTTTAGTTTATCTTTCTTCATATTATATATTTGCCGGTTGTTTATTATTCGTTCAACTTTTGCATATTTGTCATTAATAACTGCGACTTTTTCCAAGTGCTAATGAAAACCGACTCCAAAGGTCAATTCTTTTTTGATATAATAAAAAAACGAACCTGTATATTCGGAACTTAATATTATAAATATCGATATTTTATAAATAATTGTTTATAATCCGTGTTGATTTGGGTGGGGTGCTTTTTTATTAGAACAGAAAAAAAAACAGAATAATTAATCATAAATCGGCGATATTCACACGAATTATATATTTTTATTCATATGATTATCGGATAAACCACTTCGAAAATTGTCCCAATCAGAACGGCCTTATTCTGGCGTGAGACAGTCAAATAAGTAATAACTAGAGATGTACCGACTAGTGGCCAACTAGTCGGGAAAACCGACTATCCGGCCATATTTATTATTATAGTCGGCGACAAGTCGGCTAAAAGCACCAACTTATCGGGTCATTACTTTATTCATACTACTATTCTTAAAAAAGGGGATTATTATTATTCATGAAAAATATTATTTTCATTAAATTTCATTTGGTATAAGAAAGTATTCATTTGGTAATTTTGTGGGTAGGCACTGTCTGTAACTACTATATAATCTATCACTCGGGAACCGTATATTTTTCCGGGATAAAAAGTAACCTATGTGTTATTCCAGATTATAATCTATCTGAATGCCAAACATCCAGATCCGCTCAGCCGTGGTGGCGTGAAAGAGTAACAACATCCATAGTACTCACGAACTTTTACATTTATAATATTAGTATAGATTTGAGACGTCTAAAACCTTAGTCTCTCCCGTGACCATGATTGCTGTAAAGCATTCGAAACGTCGCAAACCAAAAGTCAAAATAAATCTGCGAAGTAATCTAACTTTTTTAAATTACACATAGAACAATTATATGGCTTAAATAATTAATATTATATTTTATATTTTTCTTTATGGTTATAAATATAATAATGGCAACACTAAATATAGATTACTAATTAATATTTTTAAAATTGTAATAAGTAATTACAAAAATAATAGCAAAATTAAATAAATAATATTCCATATTCAATTATAATTAAAATTATAAAAATGTTTTAAAGTTAAAAAATATTGTAATGTAATTGGTGCAATTTTCATTTTGTTAATTGTGGGTAGGCTGTCTGTAACAACTATACCTTCAAGACATGTAACACCTCAGTCTCTCCCGTGACCATGGATGCTGTAAAGCATTCGAAACGTCGGGAACCAAAAATCAAAATAAATTCGCGAAAAAAACCGAAAAGATAGTTTTATTTAAAATGTCAAGTATTCGCGTAAATCTAAGAAAGACTTTTGTTTTATTTAAAAAAAACACAAATAACAAAATACAAAGTAAACAAAAATTTGTTCGTAGGTATTTGAAGCTCGACAAACATACCGCCCGAACATCGCGAAAAGCAATGATAGGCTAGACCGACTAGTGGTTCGATTTTCTTATGGTGTTCAGTGACAAACGAGCAGACAGACCACCTGACGGAAAGCAGTACGTGTCGCCCATAACACCGACGGTTAATGCACTTAGGTTTAATGTAACAAAAATGCAGAACCGCAATTTGATAACTTATATTCAAAGCGAATCACGATGACATTAAAAAAGTTATACCTATGTTCTATTTCCGAGCTCTAATTATAACAACTCTACAAGTGTATGAGTCATATCTAGTCAACTTAAGCTTGTTTCATATATCATGATTATATCCGTATCCTTATTATAATATTACAAACCCGAAAATGAGTTTGTTTTTAGCCGTAACTTTTATCTGACAGGAAAAACTTGATATTTCAAGATAAAAAATAACCTGTCGCTTTCCGGTCCATTAATAATCTTTACCGCAAAAAAATACGTCGAGCTATTCCTGCGTTTCTGCGTGAAGCTGGGCAAATCAATAAACGTGCATTGGTACATACAAAGTTACAAATTGCTGTATTATAAGTCCCTACTTAAAGATTTATTACAAACATTCTTTAACATAGTGTATAGTGAAAATATTTGGTCATCTTACCTTCCCATGCTGGTATCGGGAGACCTTTTACAATGGTGCTTAGGACTGGTTTGCTAAATTTACCTGAAAAAAAAACTTTAATAATAACAAGAAAATTATTATTTGTAGACAAGACAATAAAAATAAAAAACCCGACTGCGTAAAAAGCGAACTAAAACGAAGAAAAATACTTAGTAAGTATTTATTATGCAATCGTAGACGGTACATTCTGGACAAAATATTCGGCCGAATAGTATTCGGTTAAAATCATGTAGGTATTCGTTATATTTTTAGTAAAAAATTAATTTTGTTTTTTTTTTTTGCTTTTTTGAGACCATTTCAATCAAAAAATACAAATTTGGGAACAGTAGACATGCACTGTCGTGAGTCGTGACCCAGTCAACGGTAATTTAAAATTTTCCTTAATGGGTAAATATTTGAAATAGTATTTGAATATGAAAAATTATATTTTATAAATAATTTTATATTTGTTTTTATTATACACCATTAATTTATAGTAATTTTTACGCCTTATAAAAAAATATAATTAATTTTTTTCGTAGTGAAAAATAAAAATTGCCTTCTGATTAGCAAGCATTTCTTGAGTAATTTTCCTGCTAATAACGAAGATGGTCAATACTTTCTTAGATTTACATAAATATTTGACACTTTAAATAAAAGAGAAGAGCTTTCTAGAGTGGAGTCGGCAGTCGCCTATCACTGTGAAGTACACCGAAGGCCGCTAGTTCGAGACTAGTTGTAGTAGGTAAGAAGATACTATATAATTTGGCATATAAAATCTACTATTTACCCGTACCTTATGTTATTTTATAATACTGAATGAGAAATGAAACTGAATATTAGTTATATATACTTATTAGTTTTAACCCCCGACGCAAAAACGACAGGGTGTTGTATAAGTTTGATGTATTTGTGTGTGTGTGTCTGTGTGTGGCATCGTAGCTCCCGAACGGATGAACCGATTTTGATTTTGTTTTTTGTATGAAAGGTGAATTAGTCGAGTGTTCTTAGCTATGTTTGATGAAAATCGTTCTATGACGGTCGGGTATTTTTTAAATTTTTAATTTAACACTTGTTTGTTATGATAAATACTTAAGTACTGTCTACAATACCTATTGCTAATACGAACGTGGAGTATCTACATAATTGCAAGTTTAATTAATGCATGAACGTTTGCTCTAATTGTCTTCATTATTAAAACTGTATGGGTAGTTACATAAATATTATACCTATACGCTAGAATCTTTTATTACACAATATTAAAATAGTAGATGACGACACGTTTGTATCAGTTTGTAGTAACCTTACTTGCTGTGCCGGAGGTCACGGGTTCGCGTCCCACTGGGGGTATTCATTTGTGTGATGAGCACGAATGTTTGTACTAGTCATGGGTGTTTATATTTATAACTAGCATTGCTCGCGGCTCCGCCCGCGTTCAGATGACCAAAAACCAAATTCTTAGGTTTTACATATTAGTATACTCTTACCTTGCAATTTATATTTATTTCTCACAAATAATTCATTTTTCCGCGGTAAAAAGTATCCTATATGTTGACTCGGATAACCAGCTATCACCATACCCAATTTCATCAAAATCCCTCCAGTGGTTTTTTGTGATGCGGTAACAGACAGATAGACAGACAGACAAACATTCTAAAAACTATAGGTTCGGCCTCTGTATTGATAATAATGTTTATTTCAATAAGATTTTCCAAAAAATATCTAATGTACAGATTCGGTACCTATGTATTTAAGTTATAAATTTTGTGTATTGCTAACTTATTATTCGGGTCAAAATTTAGGATAGGTAGGTACCCTATACCTATTATTACAGGAAAATTACACTAATTGGTTCTGTCGAGTCGTGGTTAGAAATTAACATGGATAATAACACTGGCTAAACTTTAGAGAGTGAGAGACGTCAAAACAATCTACCAGAAAATAGTGGGTAGAATTAGAGAAATGAGTATTTTAATACTTTAAATTTTAAATAGCTATGTATCTACTAATACTTCACCATGAATGACTGTACGCGGATGATGTGAGGTTGCTATTATTAAGTTATATATTATGTTATTTTCTCATTTTCAAGAATACTTACTGAACTTACTACAAGTGCTTCTGTGAGGACACAGTGCACCAAGATCCATCACTTATCACTTAAGTATTTACCTTTATTAAAGCATTCCTAAAAATTATATTTTTCTAATTTACAATATTTTTTGGGTACATATGGTAACGTGTTAGAAAACACAGACCAGGAACAACAAGAAAGAAATGTTAGAAAATCCCCGGAAAAATTTGACATCCACGTATGAATCTGTCACACACGCATTTGCTTTTTATATTTTTTTTAATGACAACATAACGTTTGCTACTCAACTGTAAATCTATGTAAGGCCTAGCCCTGGAAATTAGTTAGATAGATACTTTCCTTTAGTTTTTATTTAGAGAGATAGATTGTAAATAAATTAAGTCATCGTTGATTATACAAGGACTACAAGCTATGTATAAAAAAAAAGTTGTTTGAAATTCTATTTCAATTAGGAATAGCGGAAGGAGGTTCCGAAGTAATTGTGAGGAGTGTGCGACACCAAAGTACCACAGTATAAATATTATAAACCAACTAGCGACTCACCCTCGCTCCGCTCGTGTTTCTCTTTAGTAATTACGTTTTAACGTTTAGTTTAGATTTTTCAGAGATGAGATATTTTTCCGCAGTAAAAAGTATCCTATATGTTGACCCGAATAACCAGCTATCATCATACCAAATTTCATCAAAATCTGTCCAGTGGTTTTCTCGTGATCCGTTCCCAGACAGACAGCAGAAATTTTGAAAACTAGATTTAGCCTCTGTATTGATAATAGTGACTATTCCAATAAAATTTTCCATAAAATATTTGATTTACAGATTCAACCTAGATAGAATTTTATTAACTACTAGCTACTCACCCTCGCTTCGTTAGGGTTCGTCCCTAGGTACGTTTTAACGATTAGTATAGAATAGATAGACTATATACTTATATATATATATATGTATATATATATATTACATTTTTTTCTAACTTAAACTAGACGTATTGTATGTCCACCACTATCGAAAGTAATCCGAAGTAGTGATTCCCATACAAAATAACCAGTTCTGAACTTTTTGATTTTCCAGCTGTTCTTATGGGATTTTCCTAAAAAAATTATATCTAAACCATCCCTGATATACCTTCAACAAAACAAAAAAAGAATTATTCAAATCGGTTGTCGTTTTTGAGTTTCAGCGAGACAAATGAACAGCAATTGATATATATATATATATATATATATATATATATATATATATATATATATATATATATATATATATATATATATATCTATATATATAAAAGAAAGTCGTGTTAGTTACTTCGCTTATAACTCAAGAACGGCTGAACCGATTTAGCTGAAAATTGGCAGGGAGGTAGTTTAGAGCCAGGAGAAGGACATAGGATACTTTTTATCCCGTTCGACCGCGTTCCAATTTTTATGATATTTTAATTTTTGGATTTCTCTTAGTCCGGAATAGGTAAGTATTAAAACATATAATTAAAATGTGAGAAAGAAAGATTTTTTTTTTTTATATCTATTTAAAACGTACCTAGCGACGAACCCGAGCGAAGCGAGGGTGAGCCGCTAGTATATATATATATATATATATTCTATAGGTATTAGGTAGGTTAGGTTACTTATCGCAAAATAGCTGCCTTATATGTTTTTTTTTAATGGTATTAATTAAATTAAAATATATTTAACTACTAGCAGTACCCGCGTTCAAACTACTAAAAACTCTTTTAACTTTATAACAGTGACATACCGATAGCAGCGCCAGCTACCGACTCCATTTTGAAACCATCCAGGAACCCATTGAAATATACACACAAAATTTCATCCAAATCTGTCCAGCCGTTTAGGAGTAAGGTGACTAGATAACTAAATAAGATCGAGCTCTCATTGATATCAAGACAGACTCCTTTCACAGGCATAGTGTAGGTACCTATGGACAAAGATTAACAGTATTTCTTTTTAGCTATTTCAGGTAGTTTACATACAGTGAATAAGCAATTCTGCCATTTTTATTTTATCAATCTCTTGAAACTTTTCATATTTAAAACATGGAGACAAGAAGTTAGCGTACACGTGCCCTTACATACTTTACATTAATCTGTATCACTTCATTCACATATAAATGTAGGTAGATAGGAAATCAAATAAAAATACATAATGGTATCAAAAATTGGATTTATATTTCTGTTTTGCGGTGTATCATAACGTCAGTAACAATTTGCCAGGTTACAGAGTCGGCCGCACAGCCAGAATCAAGCATAACGTGTACTTTATAACAATGATACATTTTTCAGACCTAATATCCTAACTTATCCGAACTAACTACAAAGATATACAGGTATTTAAGCTAAATATCTACAGTCATCAATAAGTTATATACAAATAACAATACAGAATAATTATATACACTCGAATTTCGATAAGACTTATCTGTAACCTGAGAAACTACACCTTCCTACACTGCGGGCAGTACCATTTGCCTTTAGGCGGTACCATGATACCGACACATTCGAAGTGGAACCACTCGATGGAGCAGCCTTCGGCGTCACATGCTATCATTTCTGAAACCTCGTCGTACGGACAACGGCAATAGCAGTACACGCTCTCACCTTCACGCGCCTGACGCGCAGCTGGCCTCTGGAAAGCATACGGCAAACTGGACGTACCGGAATTCAAGTACGTCGGAGGAGGTACTGTAGCTGCATTGGGCGTGCTAGGTTGATATATTTCCAAGCCTGGCTCATTGCTAGAATCAGAATCGCTCGATTCCATGGATTCCGAGTTCATCAAGAAACGCGGAGGCTCAGGATCAGGTATTGGAGTCGTCAACCTTATGGGTTCATTGTAATTAAACAGTCTTTGCGGAATGACTGTGGATGGTATCTCCTTTTTAGATTTGTGCGTTACAGGTGAAGGTAAATCTTCTTTCCTCCATTCTAACTTGGGCGGAAGCTGTGGTTTTAAAGCTGCGACACCAGTTTGCGGTGATTCCTCATCGCTGGAATAACCGTAGAATTTGTTGGGCACTCGCCTTCGTTTTGACGCTCGTTTTTTCTCTATAGAGGGGGTAGGAGTGCTAGCGCTGGCAGGTGGTGGTATTGGTGCTACAGTGGGCACATCTGGTAATTGAACCGTATTTGATTGAAGAGATATCGTAATTTTATTAGGAATCAAGGGTGGTGGTTCAATTTCTGATTTTGCTATTATATCTTTAGGAATGGTCATCTTTATCGGGCCATGTTTACGCGAACTTCTAGATTTCTTTTTCTTTTTACTTTTCTTTTTGCTGCTACTAGTTTTTTCCTTTGATTCCACTTCTTCTTTTACTTCTTCTTTAATCAATTCCTTTTCATCTTTTTGTTCTTTAGTGTCTTCCTTGGCTGGAGTCGTGCAGCGGCTAACGTCACCTGACAATGAGCCTCCATCCGATGGTGCTACTGAAGCTAAGAGCAATAATTGATTGCGCTTTTCATTATACATTTTATTTGCAATTTGTTGTGGATGTTCATCGTAGAATTCTTCATCTGTTTCACTTTCAACGGTTTCTAAATCACTCTCAGCAATCGGTGGGTCAGTCTTCTCTGGAACTAATATAGGAGTTTCTGTCATGCCCATAACGTCAACATTAGATCCATTACTTAATCTTCTACTAGGAAGTGATTTTTTAAGTTGTTTGCTTTTTTTCTTATCCTTTTCGGCGCCTGATTCATCTGAGGAATCAGAATCAGATGAACTTGATGAAGAAGAACCACTACTTGATGAACAACTACAATTAGATCCACAAGAACAACTCGAATCGCTATCGCTGCTGCTACTGCTAGAAGATACTGATAGATTTCCGTGCTTTTTCTTAGGAGATTTTTTATTTTTCTTTTTTTCAGAACTAAAAATATTCTCATCTCCATTTACCTCAGTTGGTATAAGACAATAATCGTGATCTGATTCACATACATGTTTTCGAATAGGTACCAAGGGTGGCGTTTTTTCTTTTTGTTTTTCAACCTTAGCCTGATATTTATTAAAATTATCCCATATTTCTAAAATTTTTTGTTCACTCGGTTTATCTTCTTCTATTAAATCTGTTTTTTCTTCTATTTTACTTAGCGGCATTTCAATATCTGTAATTTTGGAATCCTTCTCAACATTGGATGTAGAATTATCTGCTTGCGCAGTATCAGGTTTATCTTGAGATTTTTCATCTTTACTCGGTTGCGAAATCCCACTATCTGATTCGTCGCTACTATCACTCTCAGATAAATTTAACGCTGGTAAATTAACATCTAGAAGCAAGGCATCTTTATCTTTCATTTTCTTCTTTTTACTTCTTTTAGACAATTGCTCAGTTCCAGCCTCAGCCTTGCACTCAGGAGTACCCGCTCCTTCTTTTACTTTATCATCGACAAGATCAATAATCGGTATTGGTTCTTTTGAACTATCTGGTATTGATTCATTTGAAATAGCTGGTTTCTCTTCATCTAAATTTTCTGTAATAAGTTTTTTCCTATGTTCTTCTAAGTGCTTGTTAAGAAGTTTTTTTGATACAAATTTTTCTGTGCATCCTTCTTCAGTACACGCATGAGGGAATTCTTCGGAGTGAAATCGCTTATGAACTTTTAAACTAACAGCTCTCGTGAATTGCAAGTTGCATTCCTCGCAAACAAACACTGCTGGTGGAGTACAGAAATGATAAACATGCGGCCATTTTTTTTGTAGACATTTTTTACATAGGACACTCTCTGTGCCATGCTTCCAAAACAAATGGTTCGTAATATCTGGTTTGTTCCTATAAGCTATCCCACAACGATAGCATAAATGGTGCAGCTTGTGTTTCCACACATGATTGGACAAGCGTGCTTGACTTTGGCAAAGTTCTAAACAAACGTCACAAGTGTGGTGTATCTTTCGAAGATGCACCATTAACCTAAATGATGAAGAAATATTGTCTACATTACAAAAACAGCATCTAAACTTAATTACATATTCAGAATCATATGTACCTGGACATAAATGACATAATAATTCACTATAACTATAAAAATTGTTCTTGCACATTACACACAGTAATATAGTTTTCTGGTGCATTTTTCTGTTATGCAAATAGAGATCTTTATGAACAGCAGTTTTAAAATAACACTGAAAACATTCGAAAATTGGATTAAACTGAACTGTATCACACTTGTCTACACTATCATAGGAGTCTAAATTAATATAAATAGAACGAAGCTCTTCAGCTCCTGCCTTCACTTTAGATGTTATTGTCTCTGGCATCAACTCCTCGGCTGTAATACTGTCAACTGTAGCCGAAAACCTGTGTTGTGCCACCATATGAAGGGCCAGCTGCTCGCAATCTACTGCAATCTTACGAACATGATTGCAATAAATACAGTTGAAAACTGTTGAAGCGAGGAAAACCTTTAATAAATCTTTCATTGGATATCTGTCAATAGGCCTATCTAATGTTAATTCTGTTACAGGAATATCATCAGTCACAATAGGATCAACAGCCTCTTCAACATTGATATCTTCATTGGAATTCTGGTCCAGGGGTTCTGCTTTTGGTTCAGCATTAAGCGAGATTTCATCTTTTATTTGTACTTTTTCTTCTGTTAAAGGTTCTGAATCTGGTTGACCTTTTTGTTGTTCCTCATTCTCCTTTTCAACTTGGGGCACAATAGGGGGAGAAATATCCATTGTCTCATGTTTTTTTTCTTCATATTCTGGTTCCTCAGTATGTGTTTTATCAGTATCAACGGTTAACTTCTCTCCAGAATCACTATCGGAAGAGTATTCACTAGATGAATTTTTATCCAAAAATTCCTTAGGAACTCTAACAGTTAATTTTGGTACCCTATTTAAAGTATTAATATCTTCTAATTTGTTATCATATATAGTGGATTTTATAGTGTTTTCTGGTTTGATTTCAGATGTTTTATTAACTGTTTCAATGTTATTATTTACAAGTGTTTTAACCGTAGTCTCTTTGTTGTTTTCAATAATAGTTGTTTTCACAAAAGGACTGTCAGCTTTATCACATATAGTCATTTTTATTGAAGGGGGTTTTACAGGGGTTGTAGTAATAACATCAGGGAGTTTGTCCTTTTCATATCGTTTTGGAGGTCTCCTATTGCGTGATGGCGGTTTATGAGCATATTGTTGACCAATCGAGGGATCAACAGTTGAGTTGATAATAACAGGAGAATTTGCATTATTCAAACTTAATTTTAATTTAATACCACATTCTTTATCTTTTTCTGGAGGTGGTGGTGTCGGCTCCTTAGGCTTTACTGGTGTATAATCAGGTGTTGGTTCTCTATTACTAACTGAATCTGGAGTGTCACTTTCATCAGATTGCTCTAATTGTTCATTTCCATTAGGGACATGCGCTGTATTTGTGTTTGAATTTTGTGTTGAACTGTCAGCAGAACTTAAATGAATTTTTGTGTTTGGACTTTCCGTCAACAGTGTAGAATCAAAGTTGCTACTTGTATCTTTGCTAGTAGATGCCAAACTTTCAGAACTAACACTAGTGTCACTATTTACAACTTCACTGCTACTTACAATCTCATGTTTATGAGACTGTGATGTTATTGTCTCAGGCTTATATTCACTTAACTCTCTTTTATCCGCTGTGGGTTTTATAGATTCCTTATTAACCGTTGCAGGTCCATTAATAGCAGTTTCATTACCATTTTTAATAAATTTTGCATTATTAGACTTCAGTGCATTTTTACTGATGAGTACGGGTACAGGTTTTGGCTTTACATTATTACAATCATGGTTAAAAAAGTCATCTTTCTCACTACAAATTTCATCACAGGCACAGCACATCAAATAAAAAGTTCCATTATACACTTTACAGAAGTCTTCTTTACTGTCATAATTAAACTCTTGCACATGATGTTTGTTAGTTAAATGTGAAGATAATTTCTCGGCCTTGGAAAACATTCCCAAACAAAACAGACAAATATGTCTATTGTGTACTTCTCTCATATGCAGAAAGAGATTCCAATTTTCATAATATGTGCCACAAGCGGAACACAGGTACACTTTGCGGGTGACTCGGGAAGGACCCCCTGTACTACATTCTGTGTTAGGTGCAGCCTCAGGACTCAAAGCTGGCTCTTTTGCTTGTGCTCTACAAACAAGTTGATGTTCTTTTAACATTGCCAGAGTTTTAAAAGACATTGAACAACACTTCCTACATTTAAACTTAACCATTGGTTGTAATCCCAAACTCTGAGCGTACTCTTTCAACTGGGCTCCTTTTTCCACTTTACCTTTTTTGAACTGCAGTAGCTGGCTTTTAGGCACAAGTCGAGGCACAGGTTTGTCTTCTTCATTATCAAGTGAACTATCCAAGTGTGTTGAAACATTATGAAACTGACTATGGTCTACACGTTTCGGTACAAACTTAGGTACTCGGGGAGCATTTGTTTTGGGTAAACTGATATCACTAGGTTTAGTCACAAATGGTTTCCGTTTTTTTGACGCACTATTGTATGATATTGAATTATCCACAAAGGGTCTTTTACCCAGATGTATTCTGAGCGGGTTAATTCGTTTCCGAAACTTATCTTCCTGCAATGTGTCAACGCTGTGACGTCGCGGCTCGAAGGGCTTGTCAGGGGGACTAGACGGTTCGCCAGCAAAATCGTGTCCATTTGTCGCCAATTTACAAGACCGATCACTATACAAATTTGCCAAAGATGCTGAAGCGATTTTATCGTCTTTAGTGTTGACAATATTACCATCTTCCATAGTTTTCTGAAAAAATAAAACACGTGTTCAGTTTGACTAACAAGAAACAAAAGACATTCAAACAAGAGGAAATCAAAACCGATTCGAATTACGATAGCGACAATAACAAATTGCAATATTGACTATACCTCTGAAGTCGTACGTCCAGTACGAGTACAATATGAGAGATTTGTTTCCATGCATCCGTTTGTATAGAACACTCCTTACATCAGAACTAATAAGAGGCAGCCGCGGGCTGGTCATTCCCGTAAAATGGCGTCACTTCAATGAGCGAGGATCGGTGTTATCAGAAGCTTTGCACTTCTCTTGTTCCACAAATTTCACTATACATAAACATTTTTCAGGGTTCAAACCACTCATATAACTAAAAATAACATAAATTACACTCGCCGAACTGTTTATTTCCAAACACACAATCGAAAATCGTAGCGCGTTACGAGAAGCTAATTCATGAACCATAGACAATTTTTTTTCTTCTTTACACTTTTTTATTTAAGTGATGTCACCAGGAGCTTTTCCTCGCAAACACGTGGTTTTTACCATAGATAAACCGATATTTCCAAACAACATTAATTAATAAAATTCTTTTAGAAAAATATAACTTAATTTTAGTTATTAAGAAATAGCATTAATTTAAGTTTAAATATTTTAATTAATAAAAATATAGTTGCTTATATTGATCAATATAATATATAGTCTATGTGAGTGTAACGAAAGATATCAAATTTTATAATTTATTTATCTGTGTGATCAAAAGATTTCGAAAGGGAAGAGAAGAGAGTCTTCGTTTTAGTTTTTATAGTTTTGTTTAGAAAAATTTCTTTTTTATATTCCTTTTTATAGACAATGCGGATGCAAGATGATGTCTGATCAGTTTAGAAAGGTAGAGCCCTATTCACCTAAATCCTCGCCTCGAGGAGCGAGGTCACCAGTAGTTTCTCGTCAAGATTCTTCTGGCACCCTCAAAACGACCATATCGCTGGGCAAGAATCCCTCTATTGTGCACAGTGGGCCTTTCTATTTGATGAAAGAACCTCCAGGTAAAACTGAAGTCACTTAAAGTATTGTAAAAAAATATTTTATCTATTTTTATAGCACTTATATTATTTTAGGAGAATGTGAACTCACAGGAGCTACAAATTTAATGGCGCATTATGGATTAGAACATTCATATAGTAAATTTAATGGTAAAAAATTAAAGGAATCTCTGTCATCCTTTCTTCCAAATCTCCCTGGTATCCTTGATGGCCCAGGACAGGAAGATAATAGTACTTTAGGTTCAGTGATAGCTAAGAGACCAATAGGAGGTAAAGAACTGCTACCTTTGACTAGTGCACAATTAGCTGGCTTCAGACTTCATCCTGGACCCCTACCTGAACAGTATCGCTATGTGAGTGCTACACCACCAAAGAGACATAAAAGCAAACATAAGAAACATAAGCATAAAGATGGTGCACCTCCAGGACAAGATACACCTTTACAAGGTAGGTGTATGTGGGACAGTAATTTGATTTATTATTTTCAAATAAATGTGAAAACACCTCTGTTTACCTGCTATCTTTGTTGTTTTAAATTATCTTAAAATCTACAATAACAAAGATGAAATGATTAGCTAGACTTGACTTAAGAAGCTTATTGATTTCATATAATTAATTTGATATAATTATCAAATGAAATGAATTTTGTAATATCTCATTAAGTTATAATTAATGTATACTGCTTAGTTAAAAGATATGTGGCTACTTATTATTGACTTTCCATAAACCCATATATGTAGACCCCTTTCCATACATAATTATTTTAAAAAATATTTCTATTTTTTTATTTATATTATGTTTAATATTAAGAATAATTTTATTATTATGTCAACTTATAGACTCGTCAAATCCTGATACATATGAAAAGAAACACAAAAAGCAAAAAAGGCATGACGATGATAAAGAGCGCAAAAAGAGAAAAAAGGAGAAAAAGAGGAAAAAGCAAAAACACAGTCCAGAGCATGGAGGTCTCACACCCAACCAGCATCCAATACCATAGATAAGGATAGATGTTAAGTGAAACATGTTATTCATTAAGGAGCTTTTGATTATTATGTAAGTAAATTAAATGAATGTTTTTTATGAAAGTAAACTTTTGAATTAGTGTTTAAAACGGTTCTGTTGTTTCTATCCATGTCACTGAAATAGTATTACTTATATGACAGACAGGCCCAATACTTTTATGAAATTATCTGTTATAAAGATATAAGCCAAAAAATGTGGTGTTCATCATTCTCCACATCATTGGCTAAGTTCCTCATGCGCAAATGGTACTCTTTAAAAGCCATTAACAAAAAATTGAAGTATTAATAAGAATACCGCTTAATATTTTTTCAATAAATGACAAATACATATAATTAAATATGTTAATAATTGTTTACAAAATATTCAACTGCTCCTCTTTTGCACCTACTGACCACAGTCCAAACTTGGTCAACAAAGATAGTAAAGTTAGTTTAATTAATGAATTGTTTTGTTAAATATATCTCATGTCTTTAATAGTATAATAGTTAAAGAACATAACATAGAATTCTTTTTTTTTAATAAATTCTTTACTATATATATGTAATATACCTTCAGCTGGATGTACATAAAATATTTTATATTTATGCATCACATAAATCATAATGTTAGTTTTTTATTAATTATGAATCCCTCCAAGACCGCGGACACGCCGGCCTGTCAGAGTTAAGAATAGATTTCTTAGAATTTTAATTAATTTAAAGGAGGTGTAAAATTAAAAAATGTATATATATCAACATTCCAAATTAAAAAAAACAATTGAAGAACTTTTTTAAAATTATTTCATTACCTATATCTACTGCAGGCAATAGATATAAAACAGTAGTTTCTGTAGAGCCAGCTTTAGACAAAGAAATATATTATTATAGTTATTATTTTAAGCCATTATAATTGATCTATTCACTCTGCAAACCGTTTCAATGCCTGCTAATGATAAAATAGATTTTTTTTACAGGATAAAACTCAATCAAATATGAAATTCATGTTTTCATTTTTTATAATCAAATAAAAGAACACAGTCAAAAGTAAGATCCAAAGTAAATTTATTAAAAAATCAGGCACATTAAATATATAAAATAATAACTTCTAATGTATGTAGATAACTTGAGTTTGTTAAACTCAATGTGTTTCATTTTATTTCTTGTATAAAATCATACTGCACATTTAGTAACAGTCATTGAATTTATTTCTTACTAGTGGCTCACCCTCGCTTTGCTCGGGTTCGTCGCTAGGTACGATCTAAATAGATATAAATAGTTATTAGCCAGCATTAGCCATATAAATTTTTATTCTTTTTTCGTTAATTTTTCTAATGTCTTAATACTTATTATCCTATTCAGGACTAAGAGAAATCCAAAAAATCAAATAGCATAAAAATTGGTCAAGCCATTCTTGAGTTAAAAATGGTGTAACTAACATGACTTTGTTTTATATATATAGATATAGTATAAAAAAGTGTATTATATAATTACACAATGTAAATTAAAAAATATACTTAGTATAAAGTTTTCATACATAATACTAAATTTTCTACTGTCACTTATTCTTACCTTAAAGATAACAAATGTTATTTTTTATCATTTACACTGATTAAAGTGCTTCTGACTGATTTTGTCAACACAGGCCAATCTCACTGAGGCTAAACCTCGCAGGAGATAGAGTACACTTTCTATTCCATTTACTCTCAAACTCCAGTGGGAATTTGACACAATCGGTCAATATGTATGAAGCGAAGTAATTACCTTTTTTCTATAGGCAGGTTTTTGGATGGGGACTAAATTCATGTAAGTCGTCATCGACATGGTCACGTGACGTGTTAACTCTAACACTCGAGAGTGCCAATAGATGTCAAAACCAGATAAATGTAAACTGTTTTAATTTACAAATTTTAATTCAAGATTTCAATTAATTTGAATATCCAAAAATAACAACTGTTTGTTTATAGTTTTAAGTTTTCACTTTTGTTGGCAGTTTCTTTTTTTTAATTACCTATCATTGTCTAGGCTCTATAATAGTACAATGCCTGTATAACTAAAATTTAGTGTATCACTCGCTCACAATATTTTTTTGTATTTATTTCCATGTGATGTTTCATTTAAAGACTTGTCCTTTACTTTTAAATATAAAACATAAGCTCTGTACATAGTAAAATTTCCATGCTTGAAAGTTAGATATTATTTATTTTGTTATAATTTTTTGGTATTGTAAGCTTTTTTTATGTTTAGTGATCTCTCATTTAGGAAATCTGTTGGTGATGCAGTTTTCTATGTATTTGCCTTATTGTTTTTATTTAACATTATGAATAGTATTTCACTGTAAATTCTACCGCAGACTATAAATTAAAGATTTTGATAGTATGGTTAATTAACTTTTTTTTTACTCCATTACCCAAAATTATATATTCCCTTATATATTATATTCAGTACCTGCTATTTTTTCGATAATTTTCTTCAATAGATTTTCTTATTTTTATATATTACATTGACATCATTGTGTGGAGTTTTAAATATTATTTTTTCGATTTTGAAACAAATCTCAGGAGTATAAATGGGTTTGAAATAAAACAAATCACATATACGAGGGCGAAATTTATTCAAATTATCAAATTTATACATCATTAAGTCAGTTTCGCTTCTTATAAAAAGTGTCATTCTTATTAAAAAAAAAAGAAATAAATTAGTAATGCAGCACCAAAATACATACACCATACTTACAAAATGATAAAACCTACTTACACTATACTACTCACTTCATACAATCTCTCCACACAGACACTACGCCACAACCTTACAACTGTATTGACTGAAAATTGTCCGATAAAATACAAAAGCTGAACCTTTTTCTTTCTTACGAGGACTTGAATCAGTTATACGATTGCGGCGCCATAACTATTACCCGCCATTCGACAAAATTATTTACTGTAATGTTACTATTGATTGATGTACAGACAAAACCTTATTGGATTATTAATATATGCAATTCAGGAATCCCATTCTAGTTACACATTACACATCATTTGCTATTATAATGTTGTAATACAATAAAAGATTTTTTTTTAATATTTCAAATAACAGATAATCTGTGTCATAATACTAATAAATATCTGATAGTTAAAATGTTTGAATTGAATCCAGTAGTCAGTGCAAGAGGATATTGAACCAAATAAAAAAAAACTACTCTAATACTTTCTTAGATTTACGCGAACATTTGCCATTTTGGATTAAAAAAAAACTATCTTTTTTGGTTCCCGACGTTACGAATGCTTTATAGCAATCATGATCACTGGAGAGACTAATCACTAAAGACTCAATGGTCCTTATATACTTGTACTGTAACAAATAGGGAACCAAAAATCTAAATAAATTCGCGAAAAAATCCGAAAAGATTGTTTTATTTAAAATATTATTTCATTAATCAACTAAGAACAAAAATGTAATATAATTTAAAAAAACTTTTTAATTTATTCTAGCAGTGACTAATAAAATCAACGTTAATAACAGGCATCACTGAACCTGCAGGTGACGTAAACTATTTCATATAGCAACTGCAGACGCCTCCCCCGCATCGCTGTGACCTACATACACTAACTACACCATCTACACTATAATACATTTTGGTGCGCCATGGCACTGTTTAGTGACTCAACTAAGTTCCAAACAACTATGATTGCTGCATATCATACTTCTAATAATTACAGATTTCTTCTAATATACGATGTTACAATTAAAGCAAAATTCTTACTGCAAGACAATCGATAGTTTAAAAGAACTTTTTAATTCTTGAAAAATAAGTAAAATTTTACAATATTTAATAATATTTATTTAATTTCATACAAAATAGAATAAGTGTCGAAGCCGTTAGCCGGTTAATTACGTGGTAACTCTAGACAAAATACACGTTACTGCACAATAAGACGACTCTCCAGATATATACTATACCGGGGGCCGTCACTGGACGTGTACGTCCATTCGTCTATCACATAGCGTGGTGTAATTTTGAGCAATAACTATAAATTCATACTTTTAATTATTGACAACATTCCTGGAGAAACATTCAAATTTTAGACCAAGGAACTTTTGACAAGTTTAACTAGAAACATATAAAACATGACTAAATAAATGATAGTAATAAAAATAATTATTCAACATTCGGATTATTTCCATTGCTGTATTTGCAAAGAATATGAAAAAAAATCAACCTTAAAAAATCAAATTTATGATTTTTTTAAAATAAATACAAAAAATTGGGACATACATTAATTTATTGTGTACCCAACACAATCAAAACATCATGAAATATTATTATTTGGTGTAAAATTAAAAAAAAAAAACTACATCAGATAATTCTATTCCTTGCTTAATGTATAAATTTTAAAAAAGTTTCACATAATTAATACAATTTCATGTTGGCAAGTTATAAGAATGAACAATTACCGATTAGTAAAAGCGAAGCTTGGGCAAGTAAGTTAAAATTATATTATTCAGAACCTATACAAATACAAATTATTACACGTAAAAAATAAATAATTACATATTTAAAATATAATGCACATCTTTTACAAATTACTATATTTTACAGAAAACTTTACGAACAAAGATGTCTGTGATGATATTTAATTAACTCATAAAAATGATAAAAGATTAAATTTTAACATTAATTAATTCCAATACAGTTGTATAGTGAAGTCATGAAGACGTTTACGTCTCGATTAAAGGCCGATGAACAAATGCAATTCAATAAAACTAAGTAAAGAATATACAAAATACTAAAATCATACAATAAAAAAGTTAAAACGCCATAGACAAAATGTACAAAATTTTAATACAAAGTTAGCAATTATTATCTGTCACTTTACATTTTGACATAACACAGCTATATATAGAACCTTGACCTCTCCCATACAGCCTACATTTTCGCTAAATATGGACATGCCCCGTAATAGAACATCCATTGTGAGATCTCCATTTTAGGGCATATCCACTTGTTGACGTCACAAAATAACGCACATGATATTAAGTCATACAGCCTAAGTGTAAAAAAAATTCGCGTAGCTTTTAAAAAAATCTAGCACATTTGATATCTACGTTCCGTACTCCATTCGATACACTATCTAGGCACAGTTTTGATCGCGTTCTCGTGATGGGGTCTCCGTTGATTGTAGTCAGTCGTGTCACAGGTCTTTTAATAGCGCGGACTTGGCATTTTTCAATTTGTCTAGACGTTTTGTAAGATGGCTATTTTCGGTTTCTAATTCTTCCACTCGATTGAGCGCTTCTCTCGCCTGGAATAGTTAAAATTAATTAAGCTATTTAAAAAAAATCTGAATATGAAATAATGATTAATTATTATTGGGATTTATGCGCCGATTTCAAGTGTTTTTTACAATAAATCTGATGTATAGATAGATATTAATAACGTTATTAAAATTATCTCATAAATACATTTATTATCTATATAGAACTAGATATGTTAGCTTTTCTTGCACTTATGTGTACTCATTTGTAATAATTACACATACATAATATAATATAGAGGTTGTATACTCATATTATTTACTGACTTTTATAATTAATAAGTTATTATTATTTATTTACATTAAACAAAAACATCGCATTTTTCTAAATAAATAAATAATATTGTTAGACATTATTTTTTAATTCCTATATTAGATAAAGGTGTACTTTATACATGGTGTTGTTACTTAGACAAGGACAATTTTTTGGTTAAGACACTAACAAGTCATGGAAGGGTCACTCTGGATATACATAAAAATAAATATACCGTCAACTACCATTATTAATAACGGCCCAAAAATCGACCACATCCTGAAAACAATTACAATATAAAATATATACATTTAAAATAAAACTCATTATCAACAGTTAGGTACAATGACGTTGTATCTAACTAGTATTGTAGACTGATTTAGAACTCAAGTTCGATTTCCATAAAGGGTAAATTAAAGTCGCACTTAGGGACCGTCAAACCTCTCGCTTTTCATATTTGCCATTTACTACATTGAACCTCTTGATGTTTTATATAGTTCATGAAAAGTTAGAATACTTGATGTCTCAGGTAGTCCTATACATACAAATTGTACAGTTGTGTGGCGGACGTGAGGAGAAAATAATAAAGCTTTAATATTAAGCGTTTATTGAAGTGCGTATTGCACTTGCGAGACCAAGCGAGAGACTGTCGAATCAATACATATTCGATCTATAATCTAATGTAATATCTATACTTATATATTATGCTCGTTACAAATCATATTACCTCATGTTACAATAGGTACAATATTCCCCCCTTTTTAAAAAAAAGTAAAAAATAATATATAAAGTTATTAAGAATATATAAAAATGAATACATTTTAACGCAAAAAAAAATGTAAAATGTATAAAATTAAATTCTAAACATAAAATATAGTTTGCAAAAAAATAATAATATTATTAATACCTAAAAATATCATAATTACATGCTATTACAGTTTCCTTACATCTATCACAAATTATTTTTTCGAACATGAATTTTTTTACCTATTCAGCATAATTATTCACTGCACTACTCGAAATTATGCGTTTAACATATCAGTATACACTTGCACTTTTTTACAAAGACATACACTGGCACTTAAAACGTTATACTGCAGCAGTTAAATCTGGCATGCTCTGCATTTCCTTCCTTATAGTCTCTCTAAATTTCCTTCGGCAATATCTGTATATTCCAAACGTGATTACCATAAGGATTATTAAAAATAATAAGCCGAAATATATATCAACTTCTAACTCAGAAATTTGCGAAGTATTATTTCCTCCCATTTGGGCGATTATAACTTCTTCCTTCTTTTCTTCTTTGCTCTGATTATAACCCATTATAATTATTGGCAATATAATTAGAGAATGTGAATGTGTATAGCTTCACCAAGATGCAGATTTTAAATAAATTTATCTCGGAATCTTACTACTGGCTTGCTGATTCGGCCGGATCGCGTTACTTTGTTATTTACATGTGTCTCCTTGTTTGGAATTTCGATACTAGTGCTATCCCGCGTATCAAACTCTTCTCTCGTTTGGGTACTGAACAAATATTACTTATATGTTCTCTCAGTTGCTTTAAAAATGTCTCGCTATCGGAATTTAGTGGCGTTGTAGGCTCAAAAAAATCTCCGGGTAGTTTAATTGGACTGCCATAAACCATCTCCGCTGCACTGGTTTGCGTACAATCTTTTAGGCTTGCTCTTAAGCCTAGTAGCACAGTTGGCAACTCCTGAACCCAATTATTGTTTCCTCTAGTCATCAACGATGCCTTAAGAGATCGATGCCAACGTTCGACAGCACCGTTTGCCTGTGGATGGTACGCAGTTGTTCGAGCTTTCATAATACCAAGGCGCTTAGATAATTGATTGATAAGATTAGACTCAAACTGTCTTCCTTGGTCAGTCGTAATTCGTAAAGGACAACCAAAACGTGAAATCCATCCTGAATATATTTTCTCTGCAACAGCCTCAGCTGTTATGTCTCTTAAGGGAAAAGCTTCCGGCCAACCCGTGGCTCGGTCTAACATCGTAATTAAATATCTGTATCCTTTGTAAAGTGGTAATGGACCAACAATATCAATATGTATATGTTCAAAACGATTGCTTGTGGGAAATTTACCAAAAGGTGATATTGTATGCCTATGTATTTTACATTTCTGACAATCTATACATGCTCGAGCCCAGTTAGCAACATCTTTGTTCATAGAATGCCAAAAGAATTTATCGCATATCATCTTTCTAGTTGATCTTATACTCGGGTGACTCAATCCATGTACGGCGTTGAAAGCCTGCACTCGGAATTCTTTAGTCAAATATGGTCGTGCGAATTGTTTTGAAACTTCACAGTAAATTGATTCTTGACTGTTATGAAGTTGAAACTTTTTAAAACATAAATTTTTAGATTTTAATAAAACTTGTAATTCTTTATCTTTTTCCTGAGCTTCGCTAAGAGCATTGTAGTCGATGTATGATGGCATGTTAATTTCCGAAATTCGTGATAACGTGTCAGCAACAATATTTTGAGATCCACTAATGTGTTCAATATTCGAACAAAATTGCATTATATAATCGAAATGTCTTAATCGACGCGGTGTATCGCTGTCTGTATAAGAATTTTTTTCAAAGCATAAACGAGTGGTTTATGATCTGTGTAGACTGTTAAGGGGCGTCCCTCAATCAAATATCTGAAATGCTTTATAGCCATATAGATAGCAAGTAATTCTCTATCGAAAGCACTATATCGCGTTTGCGCTTCGCTCAGCTTAGTGGAGAAAAATCCTAAAGGCTTCCATGTGTTGCCTTCACGTTGCTGTAATACTGCGCCAATGCAAGTCTTAGACGCATCCGTCATAAGGGCTATATTCGCGTCTGCAGCTGGATGTGATAGTGTAACGGCGCTGCTTAGGCTCTCCTTACACTGTTCAAATGCCGCAATTGACTCGTCTGTCCACCTTACTTCTGTCTTGTCATTTTTTCTAGAGTTATGTAAAAATATATTTAATTTTGACTGAATCTCTGCTGCTTGAGGAAGATGTCTTCTGTAAAAATTAATCATACCTAAAAAACGTCTCAGTTCCTCGATTGTTTTAGGCCTAGGAAAATTAATTATAGAGCTAACTCGTTGTTCTAAGGGTTTAATACCATCTTTTGAAACGTGGTATCCCAGAAACTCTATTTCGTTCTGCCCAAAATTGCATTTTGAAGTGTTAATAGTTAAGCCATATTTATTAAATCGCTCAAATACTAGTCTGAGGTGTTCCTTATGTTCGGATTCAGATTTCGACGCTACTATTACATCGTCGATATATACAAAAATAAAATTAAGATTTTGAAGTACGACGTTATTTAAAAATCTCTGAAATGTTTGAGCTGCATTTTTTAGCCCAAACGTCATCCTTGGGAACTCAAAAAGACCGAATGGCGTAGTGATGGCTGTCTTCTCTATGTCTTCACTATTGATGGGAATGAAATGATAGGCACGTGTTATATCGATCTTCGAAAATATCTTTTCACCCGAAAGTAAATATGTAAAATCTTGTAAGCGTGGAATCGGATACCTGTCAGGCTTAGTGATGGCATTTAATTGCCTGTAATCACCACATGGTCTAATACCACCATCCTTTTTCGGGACTACGTGGAGTGGACTTGCCCAACAGCTCTTCGATGGTCTACATATGCCCACGTCTTGCATGATTTCAAATTCCGATTTTACCTTCTGATATTTGTCCGGAGCTAAAGGTCTGGGTCGCGCAAATACAGGAGGTCCTGTAGTCTCAATATAATGAACAACAGAGTGTCTTGGTGTATCTTTGAAACAAATAGGTTTCGTTATATCGGGATACTCTAACATTAAGTCGTAATATTTATTATTTATATCTAACGTAGTAATAGATGACTCATCGTGTTGCACTATCGATGTTATAGTATCTATATTTGTTATTTGATCAATAAGTCGACGACGATATAAATCTACTATAAGCTTATGATAGGTTAAAAAGTCTGCGCCTAATATTGGCTGTTTAACGTCCGCTAACACAAAAGTCCACCGAAAAGGTCGGCGTAAATTTAAATTTAACACTAACGATTTAACACCATATGTCTTTATTTCACTGCCATTAGCTGCATAAAGTTTATATTTATCACTAACTACATTGTCATAGAGTCGTTTTTTGTACGGTAACACTGAAATATTTGCACCTGTGTCCACAAGAAAACGTAAACCACTTTTGCAGTCGGTTACGCATAAACGGTGGAACGGCGATATGGTGCAGACATCCACCCTTGGCTGCACCTTGTCTAGTTTTCCGGCTGCTCCTTCCAAGCACATGGCTCAACACATTTCTTTGCTTTAACGCCGAAACGGTGATGATAGAAACATAGCCATTTCGATGATTCGGACCTGCGGCGTCGTTGTTCGGATACTGAACGTCCACGTGATGTAGTACGTCGCCTCCAATTACATCGAGTACTTCGATACCTTGGTCTCGATCTCTCAAGTTCCATGACCTTCACACTTAACTTGGCTATTTGCGACATAAGAAATGACGTATCATCCGATTTTTCAGCTTGACAATTTACTTCAGCAGCATGTAAAGGTCTCGTGGTCTCCATAATTTTGTCAGCGATAGCCGCAAGGTTATCTAGATCCTTTACCTCGCTAACTGCCAACACCGCTCGAACTGACGTGGGTAAATGTCCTTGCCACATGATACACAGCGTTTCATCAGGTATCTTATTACGAGCCAAATCCCGCATTCGCCTAAGAAGCTGAGAAGGCTTCTGATCGCCAAGTTCCATTTCCCCCAGCAACTTCTGGAACTGTCGGTTCTCCGACTCTTCGTAAACAGCGAGCAAACGATTTTTCAAGGTCTCATATTTATGTGTTCCTGGTGGATTAAGCACAATATCGCTAACCTGCTCGATGACTTGCTTGCCCAATTTCGGAAGCAACAAGTTAAACTTCGCTTCATCGCCTAATTTTTGAGAAGCTAGCACCGCCTCACACTGGGCGAACCATAATCGCGGCTGGTCGCACCAAAATTCCGGTATTCGCGATGATACGCTGATTGTTGCCAGTTCTGAATCTTCACGTAAATTTTCCTTCGCTTGTAAGACTGGTTTAGAATTGGTAGCCATCCTATATTTGTTCTTCAGTCAGGTGTTTTTTTTCAGTCGGGGTCACCAATATGTGGCGGACGTGAGGAGAAAATAATAAAGCTTTAATATTAAGCGTTTATTGAAGTGCGTATTGCACTTGCGAGACCAAGCGAGAGACTGTCGAATCAATACATATTCGATCTATAATCTAATGTAATATCTATACTTATATATTATGCTCGTTACAAATCATATTACCTCATGTTACAATAGGTACAAGTTGTATAAGTAGGAATTTGGCGAATGCACAACGATAGTCCAATAGATGATTGAGTTTTGGCTGTCAAATCCTACACTCTTCCAAAAAGCAATAAAATTTGTGCTTTACCTATATGTATATTAATATATGTCTATCAATGATGTGCTGTGCATTGTGCAGATATTAGAATTGTGTGAAGCAATTCATACATAAAATATTACTCTATATATTAACCATAATTGTCATGATTTGTTTAAGCCAACAAAGAGAAATCGTTTAATGATTCAACACTCTGGTATTTAATGTCAAGGTCAAAAACTGTAGCATTGATTATGTATTTAAATAGTTAGATTATTCACCACTGGCGGCGCTGATAGCGCGCTGTTTATGCGGTGCATCTAAGGTTGATAATAAATGCAACTAGGATTATCGCCAGTAAGACTTTTTTTATTTCCTACCTCAAAATAAAAATAACAAAAACCTATATATATCATAGTTCTTGATATCTTTATTTTGTGAAAAAATAACAGTTTTCTATTAAGCTTTGTGGCACAATATTATACTGTGTTTTTCTAACAAATAGACAAACGCAGATCAACAAATCATCAAACATTGACCATTAAACGCTATAATCAGTAATAGTTGATAATCACAAAATGGCATCAATTCTGCTTTCTTCTGTTATTCCGTAAGAGCTTCATAATTCAACAACTAAATTCGCGAACACACTTCATATAGTTATATGCAGTCCCTAGATATCAAACAGTATCTTATATATTACTCCAGGTGAAGCATACATATCTGTATTGTGTTGTATTGTATTCAGCCCTTTATTTTTAACGTCCCACTGCTGGGCCAAGGCAAGGCCTCCTTTCAGTACGAGAGGGATCAGGCCATAGTCCACCACGCTGGCCAAGTGCGGGCGGACTTCATGTGTCTTTCGAAAACTTGCTAGGTTCTCTCAGACATGCAGGTTTCCTCACTATTTTTCGTTCACCGTAAGACAAATGGTAATCATGTTAAAAATGATTCGCACATGAAAATATCAGAGGTGCGAGAGCCGGGATTCGAACCCGCTTCACTCGGTTTCCCAAGCGAGCGCGTTACCACTGAGCTACCACTGTCTGACGGCATATCTGTATACTAAATTTTATCCAAATCCATCCAACCGTTTCAATTAGAAGAAGTAACACATAAACGTCACAATCCATCGCGTATTGAGCTGTCGAACTACACAAAAGGTCTTAAGAGAATATGACTAGTGGAGTGGGCGTGAGTGTATATATAACGCGCAGTACCTCCCGCTGCAGCCGGCGGCGCTCCTGCTTGAGCGCCTCCTCGTGCTCGTCCTGGTGGTCCTGCCGCGCGCGCAGCCGCGCCACCTGCGCCTCCAGGCGCGCCGCCGCCGCCGCCTGCAGCGCCGCCTCCGCCTCCGCGCGCGCCGCCCGCGCCTTCGCCTCCGACGCCGACTTGCGGAGCGTCTCCACTACGCATAAAACTTACGGTTAATATAAAATAATATACTTATTTATATTAAATTTTATTTTTTTATTAATTAGCTAGTGCATAATATATAACGTTTTCTTTATCCTTTAAAGAAAGTAAGCGGTCTATATGGCAAAATTAATAAACATATATAAATAATCGACGAGTGTATGTCCTTATTGACATCAAAACGACAGGAACGTTTTTAATGAAATTTTCAAAAAAACTTTAGATTAGGCCAGCGAGTAATTCTGTAAAGTTTGGTAGCGATTGGTAATTTGAACGCGGTTGATTATATAAATAACAATATTATAATATATAAAGTATGCCACTAACGCTCGGCCTCGACGTCCTGGTGCAGGTGCGCCACGCCGTTGTGCCGCGCGGCGCGCTCCTCGTTCAGCTGCAGCTTCAGCTTGCGCACCTCCCCCTCGAGCGCCGCCTTCGCGCCCGCCAGCCGCTCCAGCCGCACGTCTGCAACGACACGTACAAACATAAACACATCAATCAATCAATCAATCAATCAGCCTATCGCCGTCCACTGCTGAACAAAGGCCTCCCCAATGAGCGCCAACCATCCCGGTCCTGGGCAGCCCGCATCCATCCACTGCCTGCCACTTTTCTTAGGTCATCTGTCCATCGTGCTGCAGGGTGCCCTACATACTTAAACAAAATTCACCTATTCCATATCCTTTTTGAAATTATATGTACTTGTTTTGGTACATTTGGTAAAAATTATGAGAATAAAATTTGTATGATGACAGCCAAAAAGCAACATGACGAAGTTAGCTGCGCTCCTTTTACAAACACAGAGTTGTGAATACGCGATGAAATCTTTATCTATTTTTGTTCTGTTACGGCAAACTAGTATATCTTCTTACGTACGTATATACAGTACACAAACACGTTTTTTTTTTGTTTTTGCTGAGGAAACCCATCATGGGGAACCTGCCGGCTGTCGAAGTACAGGGTGTTTGTCGCCGCAATGCAATATGGCGTTGCAGAATCGCTAGCGCGCACACTACAACACCCCTGCACCTATACTAAATCTTAGTCTGTCTGTGATATTTCTAATATATAAATATCTCGTGTCACGATGTTTGTGGTCGCACTCCTCTGAAACGGCTCGACCAATTTTAATGTTTTTTTTATATTTGGTAGGTATGAGAATAGGTCGTAAAGTATTATTCATCCTCCTACCCCCACCCCCCATTTTTTAAGTAACTAGTGAGGGTGAATCGCTAGTAATTTATGTACCTATATAAATACTAAATTTCATCCGAATCCAACATACACACACACACACATCATATACGTATAAGTACAATATCCAGTGTACCCACCCAGCGTGCCCTCGCCGGCGTCGTCGAGCAGGCGCTCGCTCTCGTGCGTGACGAGCGCGAGCGGCGGCACGCGGCCGCAGGCGGCGCCGGCGGGCGCGTCGGGCGCCGCCGCCGCCTCCACGAAGGCGCGGCCGGCCGCCGCCGCCGCCGCGTCGCGCGCGCGCACGGCGTCCCGCGCCACGCCCACCTCGCGCTCCAGCGACGCGTGCTCGCGCTTCAGCCGCTCGTGCGTTGAACACTTCTCTTTGTGCTCGCGCTGTCGATACAAACATATTGTTGTTTATTTATTACTAGCAGAACCCGCGGCTTCGCTTTCGCTAAAACGCCCAAAAAATACTCTAAAAAGGTAGGTTTCGTACAAATTTTCATCCCATATTTTATCTCCGTATGAGATGAATATCGAAAAATGCTAATACACCTATTTATTTAATTGTATTGGAGAGCCCCGATAGAAGACAAACAAACTAATAGGAGGACAACCATACAAACCTTCAGTTTTATAATATTAGTACGGATTAATTGATAATTTTAATACGCATTGCAAATCAATTTATGGTTTTCTTTAGACTAATGACTGAAAAAAAACTATAATAAATAAATCTGGTATGATACTAGGAGATTTATATTACACTAGCATTGCCCGCGGCTTCGCCCGCGTTCAGATGACGAAAACCAAATTCTTAGGTTTTACATATTAGTATACTCTTATATTGCAGTTTTTGTATTTTTTCTCAGAAATGAGATATTTTCCCGCGGTAAAAAGTATCCTTTATGTTGACCCGGATAACCAGCTATCAGTATACCAAATTTCATCGAAATCCCTCCAGTGGTTTTTCCGTGATGCGGTAACAGACAGACAGACAGACAAAAATTCTAAAAACTTCGGCCTCTGTATCGATAATAATGTTTATTTCAATAAGATTTTCCAAAAAATATCTAATGTACAGATTCGGCTTACTTACAATTTTATTATAATGTATAGATATGTACTACTACTACCACATTCAAACTGGACATTTGTATCTAATAAAATACTTAACAATATTTCCCAAGTTAAATAAATAGAAACGATTCAATTGAACTAATAGAATGAAAATTCGTATTCATCTACACCCCTAAATAACATTTTTCAAGAACCAATTGCAATACACAGTAAATTGTTTCACTCGCCGGCCTATAAACAAAACTGACAAACCTATAATAAAAACATATTTTTTAGTATTCAGATATAATAAATAGTTATTTTATAATATACCAAATTTTAAATATATGGTCACCTGTAACTGCGCATACTCCTCTTGCAACTCTTCTATCCTGTCCTTGAGCAACTCGAGCTGGTAGCCGAGCGCCGCTTTGTCGTTGTCCAGCTGGGCGTTGAGGATCATGGCTTTGCGGAACTTCTCCTCCACTTCTTTTAGTTCATGCTGGAAATTATTAATACACAAAAATTACATATATTTTATGTATGTATCATATTCAGCCGTTTTTAACGTCCCACTGCTGGGCACGGGCCTCCCTTCATACAAGGGGCATCAGGCCATAGCTGACCTGAACCACTAAAAATTATATTAAGAAATTTATTTGCCAATGACTATTACGAAGGTACCGCAAAATATGTGGGGCTTGTACTGTTTACTGTATTTTAGATTAGGCATTCCTCGAAGAATAAAAAGAAGTATTTCTTATCAAATTAGAAATACCTACAACAAAGGCTATATGAAATAAAATAATCTTCTATATAAATAAAAATGAACGTTCGTATGTTTGTCCTCTATGCGTTCATAAAACTTGAGGGAAGCGAGGGAAAGTCGCTAGTTTATATAATAATGCAAACCGTAAACGTGTTATATTAAATACAAATAGTATAAAAATACTATTTAAGTATACAATGTACATTTACATATAAATATTCAAATAATCTTACCCTAAGGTCCTTGATGCTGAGCACATCATCAGAATCCTCTGAACTGCGCCGCGGCGAGTGTAGCGCGCTGGGGCTCAACACGGCTAACCGACTGCCTGTCCGCCTTCCCACCGTCTCTGCAAAGTGAAAGCGTTTAAAACAATTGTTATATTATACAATAAAACTTTTTACTCCAAGCTAAGATTAAGATCTTGTAATTATGCAAATCAAGAATTAAGCCATTCATATTTAGCATCAAAGGAAATGATATAGAAGCCGCCGCCGGTAAGTGAAAAAACAATGAATATTTCTTGTAGTTGGGTACCGTGTCGGCTTAAAGACGGACAGTGTATTCACATATTTTGTATTCATTCCAAATTAATATTGTGTATTCAGCCCCTTTTAACGTCCCACTTGATGGGCTTTAATACGAGGCGAATCAGCCCGAGTCTACCACGCTTGGCCATGTGCGGGTTGGTGGACTTCATGTCTTTCGAATACTTGCTTGGTTCTCTAGTAGTAGTAGTAGGTAGTAATTTCTAGTGCCTAGCATGTAGATACGGCAGCAGATCCGGAGCTCCTGGGTTCGAGCTAAACTGAGTTTTTCTGATAAGATTTACTCAGCAGTAAATGTAGGAAAGTTGGCGGTTTTACACCTTAACTCTCACCGCGAGTGTCGAAGTAACGTCCCATCGGACTTTGGGAGAAAAATGAATAGAGTGCAATTGTGTCTGCGTTTACTATAGTACCGGTCAAGAGAATATTAAAAAATAAATACAATGAAGCTTATTCTGCAAAGTAATTGATCTCATGAAACTTACTTTCTTTACCGTACATATCATACGCCTTATCAGCATGGTCCTCTTGCTCGCGCTGCTGTCGTTCCAACTCGCGCATGCGGATTTCGCGCGCCTCCGCCCGCGCAGCACGACGCGCCGCTAGTCGTTGTTCTGCCTGAAAAAGATATAAAACATCTTAAAATTTAATATTTTTTTTATTAGATTATAATATGCACAAAAGTAGTTGGAAGTTTATATGATTATCTATAGGTACTTAATATTAATATAAAGTTTGTGAGTTTGTGACGTAGAAGGTAATCTCTATATCTAGTGAACCGATTTAAATGAAATTTGGTAAGAAGATAGTTTGAGACCCTGGGAAGGACGTAGGATACATTCATGGGCGTACCCAGGTAGGGGCAGGGGGGGGGCAGCTGCCCCCCCCTGGATCGTGTATGTCTACGTACCTACTGTTGCCGATAAAGTTATGTTTGAGACAGGGTTACGACTTCCGAGTGTAACGAATTACTTTACAATATATTATGTGTAACTTATAAAAAATTTGCGCTGCGCGCCCGGTCAACTTGTATTCATACAATACGCTGGAGCAGCAAGCGACCGGTGAGCTCCACGCTCGCCAACCACTTGCTGCCACGCCAACGATTAACGAATATTATCGAATCTAGTCTGGCCTGTGAGCTCGTATTTGACATATTATTGTTTTGAAAGAGCCAAGCGTAGGTGACGAAAAATAATCAATGTTCATATCCATAGATACATATAATAAATTGTAACTGATCTCTGTCTGTACATGGGAGATATTTGAGAAAATTTTTTGTCTGTTTGTCTGTGCGTTTGTGCGCGCTAATCTCAGAAACGGCTTAGCCGATTTGGATGCGGTTTTCACGAATGTATTTTATGGTAAGCTTCACTTAACATTTAGTATTTGTTTTATTTCAATCGGTTCATAAATAAAAAAAGTTAGGTATATTTTTACCTTACAATTTAATAAAATAACACAGGAAACATTTATTGGAAAAAAGTTGTGTATACTTATGTAAGCACGTAAAAAGCATGAACGAATTAGAGACAATTCGTTCATGGTAAAAAGTTATACTTCTTTGTTTTTTTAAAGCATTTAAATGTGAGCTTGTTTTTTTTAAATGTATTAATTTTTTTTATGTTTCCTATTTTTTTTCGTATTCTTCTCAGCAAACCCTTTCATTTGATATCCGTATCATGGAGGTGCAAAATACACAGTAGGTCGTATTAAATTTTATAATGGCATCACTTTGCTTATTGAGTTTCGCTCATCAAGTCCTTTAATTTAATACCCATATAATATGGGTCACTTTAGAAATAATAAATCGCCATTTTGTAACGTCCGTCCATCGTATTGGATTAAAAATGGCGGCATTTAGGAAATCATGCAGCCATGAGAGTCAAACGTGTGTGCCATATTTCAGCTCAATCGGACAATAATCGCCTATCCCTATTAATAATGTCGGATATGCAAATTTGTCATTTTCTTTTTATTTCACTAATCACTCTTAAAAAGTCTCTTCTTTTAGTAGCTGCAACAAAAAAATATTTTTTACGAGTAGTTTTTAAAATAGCCACAAGTAATTTTTGTTAACCTAACTTGTACATTTAAAAAAATATCAACAATTCAAACTTTGACGCACTCTCCTGTAAAGTTGCCGATTTTCACATCCGACAATGTTAATAGGGATAGGGTTATTGGAAGTGGGTCAAATTTAACTTGTAAGATTTGATTACAGACAGACACCGAGTCAGGTGAAACTAAATAAAAGCTTATAAAAATATTTTATATTTATCGATGTAAAACACGTATTGTGTATATAGAAATACCGGAATATATATCTTAAATATTGACATCTCACTATACTAAAGGGAGATATAACGACTAACTTCACATTGTAGCCAATAATGACTAACTTTACACTGTAGTCAATAACCAAAGTTCATACTGTAGTCTAAATATGTCGTATCGTAAAAAAAAACATTCTCATCATTCATTTTTTATAACGCGCCAAGAGAAGTATAACTTCAAAAATGCTATAAAATACTGTTCAGTTGATTTGGCTGAACTTTTGGTTAATTATATTATATGTAGTTTGTAAAACGATGATGATTTAAAGTTTATATGGACACAGCAAAGTCAAAAATTGATAATTTCAGAAAAGACGCCAATGTAACCTGAGACATCTATATGGCTGAGCATATTAAACAGCGTTTAGCTTAAACTGGTCGCGCTTCTGTCGAACGCTTGCGCACCCTGGTAACAGCTAAAACTCGGCTAATTTTATTTTTTAAAATAATTAGTGTTCGGTGCAATAAAAATAAAATCCATGAAATTGTAAACTAAATCCCCGTAGGTACCTAGGGATGCACCCAAGCGAATCGAGGATAAGTCGTTTGCCTACCTATATGGTATTTTAAAAATCTGGTAGATTTTTTGTGCAGTGTGCAATCTGTTGAACAAGAATAAAAAGTGTCCGCTAAATGAAAATGGACCAGGCAGGCGCGGACAGTGCCGGATTAAGCAAGCGCAGGGCCCGTAGCAAATTCTTTTGAAGAGCCATTGATCTGCTATGGGTTTTTAAGTATAAAGTGGTAAAAAAACAATTCAATACTCAATATCTCAGGCCTCAATACGTTTATTTGCCATCTACAGGTTACAATTTTGTGAGTGATTAATAGTACAGTAGATTCCTATAGGCTCTGTTAGGCTCTGACAAGTACAAAAAGCCAGAGATGACAATTCCTGGCAATTTAGGATAATTTTGATAAGAAACTAACAATTGAAAAGTGACGAAAATGCACAATTTGTTTAATAGATATTTCTAAATTCTAATACCTTTAACGAGCAATTTTTGTTTATTTATACCGGCGATCTCGGGAACGGCTCTAACGATTTTGCTGAAATTTAGCATGTGGGGTTTTCGGGGGCAAAAAATCATTCTAGAATCTTTAACACGTTCGCTGCATTACGAGATCTATCAGATCTCTTGCAGAACTTTTGTACTGTGCGTTGACTATAATCGTGTTGTTTCACTCCTTGCGGGAGGCTCTAACGTGTAAAGTTCTTTAAGTATGAGTAAGATAAATATACATATTTGCTTCCTACTTAAAGGTGAATTCGAGGACATAAAAAAAATAAATAGAGATGGATTAGGTCCCTAACGCACAGTAGTATAATTATTTTTATTCCTTGCGTTAGGAGACATGTCGATACTCGTGGAATCGTACGCCTCGTAGACGCAAGAAAGGGAGGTTGGGGCGCGCGGGCGCTGTGTGAATCGATTTAGTGTTGTCCTAGTGTCGACGTGGGAGGTTGCGCGCACGTTTCGAAAAAGTGTAAAAAAAATTATTTAATTTATTTAATTTAATTATTTAATAAAATTGTTTTATTTTGGTGAGATTTCTAAGAATGAAAAATCAACGCTGGATTATAGTGCTGCATCGTCCAGTATAATTACAATTTTGGAAAATATAATGCTTTTTATTACAGAATTCCCCGAAGGAAGATGTACAGATCATGTTTTCCAACGTGGCGACAAAAAAAGACGTTGTGTGGGTTGTTATGAAAAATTACGACGCACATTAAACAGCACTGACGCTTCTAAAAAAAGCTGAAAAAATACCATTTGCGCGCAATGCAAATAATCAATGTGCTTACTATGTTTTAATGAAAAACACTTTGCATAGTTTATAAATAAACTTCTTTAATAAAACTTTTTCAATCGACAACTGAGATATTATTTTATTCCCATCACTACTTACTACACATATTGAAATATCTTCGGTTGCGGTACGAGATACAATCGATATCTAATTTTTTTTTGGTATTTGTAGCTTATTCTAATGTCATAACTGCGTGCGAACCTAGCAAAATGTAGAGCAATAGGCTTTCTTGACCCACAAAAACTTTAAAATATATGTCATTAGTTTTTTGGAAGATATAAATTATTTTCAAAACTGTATTTTTAGGAGACTGATTAGGTCTCTAACGCACCAAAGGGTAGGCTAGTTTCGAGATCTTTTAGGTCTCCAAAGCACCAGCTGAAAGTTCTTTCAAAATGATGACGCAGTGAACGTGTTAAAAGATTATTCTAGAAATTAAAAATAAAAAAAACCAAGAAAAAGTTAAAAACAGAGTTTTTTGCAAATATCTCGAAAACTTTGAGATCATTGTAAAAAGTGTTAGTTATAAAATTTGTAGATTTCTACTAAACCTACAACTTTTGTACAAATATATTTTTTCGATATAACGTCACAGTAAAGCGGAAATTGAAAAAAAAAAACTATTTTTCAACGCTTTGCGTCCCGCATTTCTCGGGGGTAGCTGGCCATGGGGGGCATTTACGAATTTGAATTCCTTATATACCTACTAACATTTTAAAATCATAAAACTTCAGGTTTTCAATATATATACTTTTTCTCTTAAAAATAAGCGGATTCCGATTGGTCTATTAGTAGGAATAGGTGTGACGTTTCACGTCTTTGTGACATCAAATAAATATGCACGTCTTAATAAGTTTCACTCAAAAAATCGCGCTCAGGCAGAGTTGAGCGGGTTTAAATATGCGGGGCCCCCTTTTGCGTAGGGCCCGTAGCAATTGCTACTCTTGCTACATGGTTAATCCGGCACTGGGCGCGGATCTAGAGTTAAAGTTTGGGGGAGATCAGAGGCTGACATATACATATAATAAAACAGTAACTTAGCAAAATCTGTACACGAAATTTTTTTTTAAAACAATGTCTTTAAAAAAAATATATCAAAATCTTAGGTTTTATGACTTTAAAACGTTAGCAGGTATATAAGGAACAAATATCCGTAAAACGCCACCTCTGTTCAGCTTCCCCCAAGAATGGGGAAATGTAAAACGTTGAAAAATAGTGTTTTTCAATTTCTGGCTTGCTGTGACATCCTATTGAAAATATTCTTTACAAAAGTTGTAGGTCTAGTAAAAATCTACGACTTTTACATTAACCTCAAAGTTTTCGACATATTTCCAAAAAAAATTTTTTTATTTTTTCTTGTTTTTTTCTGTTTTTAATTTCTGCAATTATTTTATGATTTTCATGAACCTAGGGGAGTATAATGTTCGAAAATACATATAATATCCATTTTTTTGAATTTGAAATGTT